ACACCAGCTGGGACGGTGGCATGGGCTGCCCACAGCAGGGTCTGGATTCAGCCAGCCCAGTGCGCCCTCCTGTGTGCCAATCAGACCCTCCCACCTGCACTTGGGGGGCTCAGACTTTGCTTGTCCTCCTCGCCCTGGCGTACCTTACTGGGGTGTCCCTCATCTGGGAAAAGGGACCTGGGCAGGGGGCTGCCCCTGTGCTGGCCCCGCCACCTCACCTCTGCCCCCTGGCCTGTGCAGGGGCCCCGAGACACCGAAGCAAGGAAGGGGCCCTCACACGGCTGCCAGGGCACAAGCCAGGTCGCACCACCCTGCTCATGCTCTTGAGTGAGGACGCCAACCTCTGGGCACAGGCCCAGCTGATGACCAAGGAGAGGCATGCCATGCATGGTAGGGGCCATGATGAGCCACGTGACCCAGAGCCCACTTAGCAGGGCTGGCAGGGACCCCATCAGGCCATCTGCCTGTCAGCGAAGGGCACCACCTCCCCCACTACACCCACCATCTTGGGAGATGGCCATGCCCCTGCTCCCCCAGTCCCATCCCTCATCTGGGGACCCCTTTCCCCATGGCTGTCAGCATAGGGGCCAGTGTGGCCTCATGAGCATCCTCAGCACCTGGTCACCCCAGGCCTCAAACGCAGGCCTGCACTTTGGGAAGAGCGTGTTCAGCAAGGGCCTAGGAGGGCCATGGGCATGTGGGGTCACTGAAGGAGAGGCCTTGAGTTCAGCAGGGGGCACCTAAGAGGGGTAGGCCTGGGACTGAGTGGGACCCCGGGAGCACTGCACAGGCCCCACAACAGGGAGGCTTTCCACCAGCCAGGTGGGCCCCGAGCACCCATCCTCCCATTAGGACAAAGACATCTGCTGGGATTTATACCATGTGGTTCCTTCATGGCTTCACTGACTCAGCGAGGCTGTCCAGGGAGACCCCGACGCTCAAGGCGGCCCGAGCTCAGCCCACACTCCCACACCCCAGTGAGCCGGGCCCCACCCCAGCCTGCAGGGGTCTACTGCCCCCCCAGGTTAGTGACATGCTGACCAGGCCCCATGGGCCCTGCTCAGCCTGTTCTTCACGCCTGTTGCCCCCCGCAGACCCCCTTCTCACTCTCCCTGAGGCTCTGGGGCGCCTCGCCTACATCCAGGAGGGCAAGGGCGTACTCACAGCCAGGGCATGCAGCCCTCAAGGTGCATAGGAGTGAGCCCACAGGCCCAGGGGTGCCCCAGGCATGCAGGCCCCCAGGAGGGTGTCCCCGCTGTGGTACCACTGGCACAGGTGGACCCCTAGGGGCGGCACACCGCAGGCTATAGCAGCCACCCACCTGAGCAGCCCTCGGGGCCCTGACATGCACCCCCACACCCAGCGCTCCTCCTTAAGCCGCGCGAGTTCCTACAGGGCGCCCTCTCAGACCCATGCCTGGAGGGTGCCGTGGTGCTAAGGTGCCTTCAGGCCTCCGGGGCCGAGCTGCCCCCCAAGGGAGCTCAAGCGCCCGTCCCCCCAGTCACCCACCCAGGGCAGATGCTGCCCACACAATGGTATGAGCAGCCTGTAGACTGTCCTCAGCATCAGGCCAGGGGGCCACACAGAGACCTGCCTACAGGGCCAGATGCCTGGTGTAGAGCTCACCCCATTGTCTGTTCTCAGCAAAACCTGAGGAGTCCCCAGGAATCCCCTGGGCCCGGAGCAAGTATCCCCAGTACCCATGACCCTCCTCACTCCTGGCACTGAGATGCTCCTTGGTCCACCTCGCGCAGCCACGCTGTCGCCAGCACCCAGGGATGGCAGCAGGAGAGAGCAAGCACAGGGCGTGAGGCTGCCCCTCTCCCCAGGGGCTGTAGCCCGGCGATGGAATTCCCTCCCAAACTTCCCAGCGAGCAGGAAAGCCACAGGCCGGAGGACCCAGACAACGGCTTGAGGCCAGAACGCTTGATCTCCTTCCCTTCAGCACCCTCTGGGCTGCCCCGGGGCCATGCAGCGGGCCTGGCCCTGCAACCTGATGGGCCCAGTGACTAAAGATGGGGGCGCAGGGCCCAGGACACGGCTCCTGCCCCGTGGCCCCTGCAGCCACCACCCCACAGCAGGCAGTGACCAGAAGGGTGGAGATGGAGACATGGCAGCATCTGGTGAGCTGCCTGGAGGCCTCACACGTACCTGCCATCCCAACCTGTGTCCATGGGGAAGCTAGACGCTTGGAGGCCTTCAGTAGGGGGTGTCCTGGAGACAACAGCATGCCCTGCCCCTTGATCCTGGCAGGCAGTGTCCCCCTCATATGACACAAGTCCCTGACCCAGAAGGGACTGGCCAGGCCTGAACCAGGGCCCTAGGAGGGCAGGTGCACCACGAGCAAGCCCGCAATCAGGATGCATACTAAGGGGACCGAGCCGCCTGTGGCCAATTCTGGATGTGGGCCCAAGGCAGAGCAGTATGTGGGCTCCTGGGGCCTGTGGACACCCAAGGCCGTATCGGTGACCTGAGGCAGCTAGGGGAGCAACAGACCACCCAGTGAGGGGGCAGTAGGGGCAGGCAGGCACACACACACACACACACNCCCAGCTCCTATCCCGAGGACATGAGATGCTGTATGCACATGGCTGGGTCCAGGGAAGGGGACATACCTGTACATGCACACACACACGCACATGAACATGCACATGCTCCCACGGTATGTGCACATGCAACACGTGTTCATGTGCACGTGTGTATGCAACCACATGCATGCAGATGCTTGTGCACACACATGTCCAAAACCATGTACAGGCACACGCACTGGGCAGGGGCCAGCCTCTCCATGAGGTGGGAGGGTGCTGAGTCTCATGACCCTGTGGGCTGGAGCTGGCAGGGTGACCAGCTGTGCCAAGGTGACACTGGCATGGGCCGAGCCAGCCAGCACTCACAAGGTCGCATGACACCCACACATGGCACTCAAGTCAGTATTACTGTTACTGGGTTCCTAGTGTCATAGAAATTACAGAGATGCTAATCCACCCCCTCCCTGCTGGGGAAGCAGTGTGTGCACAGCTGGCAGAGCCCTCCCTACATCCCAGGAGGGGATCGCCTGTATCCGAGACCATCAGCACCCAGACCAGGGAGAGGACAGGAGGACTACCTGTCCCCTGCTGGTCCCCAAGCTCCTTAGGAGCTTCTGGATAGTTCTATGAAAGCTGCCTGCTACGCAGAGGGCAGGGAGAGACCAGGGGGACACAGTCACTCGCAGTGGGTGGGTGGCATTTGTAATCAGCAAAGGGTCTTCTACACCAGGTGTGATCCAGGCACTGGCCACCAAGGAGACCCCCACCCTGCCCACCACTCAGGTTTCCAAGGAGGCCTTAGCCAGGCTTGGGCATGTCTGCTGTCCAGAGGGTCACCCCAGCACTTCAAGGCCATGTCCTGGGGCAGCCTCTGGGAATGGAGCAGGTAGCACACCCCCTGCAGGGGTGGGGAGGGCGAGGGCCTCCAAGTGCCCACCCAGCTCACAGGTCCCCAGCTCCCCAGCAGTCATGTCTTCTCGAGGACGCCCCCAGGATGCTGCACCGTGACGAGTCAGTGCCCACGGAGGCCAGGGGAGGTGTGCAGGGGGGTAGGGTCTAGACAGCCTACTGTCATGTTCCTGTGGAAATATAAGCAAGCAAGGGTGTCCAGAGAAAGCCTGCAGTAGAGCCCCAAGAGGATGTAGCCCTACCAGCTATGAAACCCTAAATGAAACTGATGCTCTAACAATTAAGACAGTCCCCAAACATGCAGGGGACATGACCGTCCGAGGATTTCTAGTCAGAGGCAAGCCATTCTGAAAGCAGGGCGTAGACGGATGGGGGAAATTAAGCCGATCCCCAACTCACACTTCATGCCAGGATGACTTCCAAATGATTCAGACTATTCACAAAAGTGGAATTATTAGGTACAGAAGAAACACATAATTTTTTATATTATCAGAATAGAGAGAAAAGCCTAAGTGGGATACATCCCAGAAACCACTTATAAAAAAAAAAAAAAAAATTCTGCCACACAAAAATCAAGCTTCCTGGGAACAATCTATCACCTAAACCCAAGAAAACACAAAACGGGACATTTGCAGCTCTAATTTTCTTAACATGTGAGTTTCTGAAAGGCCAAACGATGGGGGATGATGTGAACAGAGAGCTCCCAGGTGATGGCGACAGGCTGCTCACCTCCTCCCGAGGGACACGCGGGCAGCAACCAGAGCCGTGTCGCGGCGCCTCTCGCCTGGCGGAGCCGGGAGGCCAGCAGCGGCGGAGGCCTGAGAGGCAGGCAGCCTCGGAGGTCTGGTGGGGCCTGAGGGGGACCGGCATGAGCAGCCCCTGCCGTGGGCACGTGTCATAGCCGCCAGGCCCCAGCCCTGGTGCCCACCCATGGGGGATCTCAGTGGATCCACAAAGCCACATTACACAGCCACTGACGAGGTGGAGGGGCCTCTGGGGATGGGGTCCACTTGTGATGTGCAGTGAAAGACGGATGGAGCCCAGAATCAGGCACTCTGAGAGCACCTTACAGAAAGGGACAGGCTGTGACCCTGGCCCCGGGCCCCGGGGAGGGGTGGGAGTGGCGGGAGTCAAGTGACGCTTGGCACCCTGTGTGGTGACAGGGCCCACGCCCCGCTACTGGCCGGAATGGCTGTGCCCCCAGTTTCTGCCGCTGCCTGGCACCACTGTGCTTCTCATCTGTGGCCAGTTAGAGGCCAGTTACCTGTGCTCTGGGCCGGGCTCTGCCACACTCACATGGCCCCGCTCAACCCAGGTGTCCATTTCTAGCCAAGAGGTGCGGCTCACACAGTGACAGATGGGTCAGCTGGGTGAGCGCGATCACTCCCACCTCCCCTTGGGGACAGATAGTGGTGCCTTAGCCACCCCAGGCTGCCCCGTGTGCAGCTGTGCAGGCTGAGGTCAGATTCTGGGCGTACAGGAGGGCCTCACCGCTCACTGCCAGGCTCTCCAGCCGGTCCCAGATTCAGAACCCCTGACTATGCGCCGGCCAGCTGGCCAGCCGGCCTGCAGCTGGGGTCAGGGCACGGGCTCGCCTGCACAGCCCCCATCCCTGGCCCTCTGTCTCCGGCCCCAGCCCCCTAGGTGTGCCCCAGGACCTCGCATCCCACCAGCCGACGCATTCCTTCTCCAAAGAGGGACACAGAGCCACTCCTCCTACCTTGCTCAGAACCGTGAGGCCTCGTGTCCCTCTGCTGGCAGGTAGCTGCTGGAGGCCCACCGGGTAACCCTGTCCCCGAACTGGAAGCCTTCCTGGTCGGCGGGGGGAGTCCTCCAAGCGACCCCCAGCAGAAGGAACCGGAGGTTGATGTGGAACAGAGCAGGTGAGTTCTTATTCCCTTGGGTGCCAGGCTGGCCGGCTCCAGGCCTGCTCTGCACCCTGCAGTGGACCCGGGAGGAGCAGAGGGCAGGAGCAGAGGGGTGTCTGGCCAGCAGTCACGTCAATCCCACCGGGGGTCCCTGGGGCTGGCACAGCAGCAAGTCTGGCTCTGAGAGTTGATTTCCTCAAATTCACAAACTGTCAAACTCAGTGGCTGAAGTGTATGATTTGGTGGTGTCTCGAGTATTTACTGAGCATGCAACCATCCCCACTCATCACTCCCAGAGAGGGACCTCTTACATCAGCAGGTTACCATCTGCTGGCCCCACTGCACCACAGACCACATGCTGCTCTGTGGACCCATCATGTGGAGTCACGTAACATGTGGTCTTTGTGTCTGGTGTCTTCACTCAGCACGTCCATCTGCAGTGAAGCAAGTGTCAGTACTCTGTCCTCATGGGAAGTTGCTCCACGGTGCATGGATCATGTGTGTTGACCGTCCGTCCGTCCTGTCCACACTGGAATATGTCTGCATTTTGCTGTCATACTAGTGCTGTGAACATACGTGGCAAATGTGGTCTAGGACCTGTTCTCACCTCTCCCAGGTGGACCCTAGGTGTGGAATCCACAGGACTGTGTTCTGCCTCCCAAGGGGCCCCCACAGCAGCTGCACCACCTCATGCCCCTCCAGCAGCCTGGGGGGCTCACCTCTGCATCCGCACACCATTGTCCTCCATCCAACGGGCAGTAGCCCTTCCAGGGGGCGAGGTGGGTGCCTCGGGGCTCCCACCTCCCTTTCCCTGGTGGCAGTGCTCGGAGCCTCCAGTCATGCACCTCTCAGCCACGTCCCTGTGGACAATGCATGCCGCCGACCACTTGTGACTGGGCTGTCTGTCCGCGATCGAGTCATGTACTCTCGCATGCCTGTGTGCCAGGCCCCACATCAGTTGAGTCACAAGTATTTTCATATGCTTTGAGGGTTGTCGCTTCCTGGTCTCCATGGTGCCCCTAAACACAGCCTTTTAATTCTGATCCAGCTCAGTGTGATCTTTCTGTTGCTCATGCTTTTGGTGCCTGAGGGCAGGATGTGACTCCCAGGAGCCCCCACCTGCCCTTGGCTGCAGCTCCTTTCCAGGTGCCGGCCCTGGCCTGGGAGGCCACTGCACCACAAGGGATCAGCAGTTCATCTATGCCTCCCGGGCCCACCTTCTTGCTCCCGCGAGGCTGCGCGAAGGCAGTGTCATCTCCCTGTCACAGTGTCACCTGTGGCTGGGAAGGTGGTGTGGAAGTGTCAGTGTGAGTGCACACCTGTGGCCAGCAGGCAGGATGCTACCCCACCTGACTGCAGGGTTGCCTCCGCTGTCAGATGGTAGCTGCCACCGGGGCAGGCGTGAGTGTCCTCTGATGCTCCTCAGAGCACTGGACCATTCGGGCCTTTCTGTCTTGTAGCATCAGATATCAAGGAGGACACGGAGGCCCTGCTGGCCTTGGAACGAGCAGAGATCATAGGCAGATACCATCAGGTGATGCCTGGATGGGGAGTGTAGCCCACAGGAGCAGGTACCACCAGGCAGTAAGAGCATCTAAGGCCCAGGTGGGTCACAGCCAGATATGCACACATGGGCTTCATCACCAGAACATTCCAGATAGGGATCGTGGCCAAGGACGAGCAGGGGAGGCCCACACAGGTCTCAGCCAGCAGGAGAGTGAGCTGACAGGCTGCCCCACCCAGGGGGCAGGGCCCTTGCTTCAGGTGGCATCGGTCAGAAGTCCCTGGGCTTCCTCCTCTCTCCTCCTGCCCGTGCCCCTGGCTCTGGTGCACCCTCACCATGGTGCCCCTCCAGGCATCAGGGCACCGGTGGACCCGTGGGACAATCCTGGCCTCTCTCTGTACAAAGTCACTGGCCATCTGGGCTTTCCACAGTGAGTCACCTGGGCACGTCCTTCTCATCTGGGATGGTTTCCATTTGTGGAAATACCTCTGGCGCCAGGACCCGCCCTCCCAGCTCAGGACCTCACCCCTGATGCCCAGTGGGCCATGGTCTGCACTAGGTTCGAGCTGAGACCCAGCAGGCAGTTCAGGGAAGTGGGCCGGGTGGAGCAGGGCACCACATGGAGGCACAGGTGACAGTGTCTGCTTCCCAGGCAGAGGGAGGGTCTAGCTGAGTCAGCAGTGGCCTCACAGGCTGTGGCTACAGGGCAAGGGGTGCCTGGCTAAGCCTTTGGGTGGCTGGTTGTCCAGCAGGTCTCAGGAATCCAGCTGGCCCAGCCCAGTGGCCACATGGGGCCAGGCCTAAGGGCAGCCAGGGGGCCCTCAGGTCTCATAGGTGACAGGCAGGTGGGGTTTGCAGCTGAAAGTGACCTGGTGTTAGCAGATCTGGAGGGTAGATGGGCCATGGCGGGGACGTCCAGAGGAGGAGATGGGCTGCCTGGGTTCTTGGGCAGTGGGATCCTCTCATGGGGGATGCCCTGTACAGGCAGGCAGGGAAGGCTTGGGGCATCTGCATGGAGGGGAGCCTGGGGTCTCAGGTGGGGCCAGCATGGCGGCCTGGGGTCTGCTCACTGCCCCGTAGACAAGCTGTTTGGACCAGTTGGGACAGGTCCTGCTCAGAGGCTCTGACAAGTGATGGGTCAGAGTGGCCGGTGTGACACAGAGCACAGTGAGGTCAGGGGCCAGAGGGTGGGGTGCGGGGACACAGGCAAGGTGGGCACAGGTGCCCCCTGGCTGCCCTGGGCAGTTCTCAGGCTGGCCCAACCCCAGGACACTGGCAGGTCACCTCAGTGCCAGCACCGACCCTTCTCAGGGCCCCGCAGAGGGGCCTGTCTCCGGCCCAACTGTGAACAGAGCCCCCTGAGGCCCCTGCCTGTGTAGCCAACACCTTTGGGGGATCAGCACCCCATTCAGGGTCACCTGGTGGGGGGACGTGGCCCTGGAGTGGGTCCTCACGGCTCTTCTCCCTTCCACTGAGAAGGGGCTGCCCAGCCTCAGCACCCAGGAGGCGAAGGTAAGGAAGGCCCTGCCCTTGCTAGAAGGGCGGGGGTCCATGGGTAGGGGTGGCAGGAACCAGACCACACGTCCCCAAACCACAGCTGCAGCTCAGGTCTCTGCCTGGAGGCCCGGGGGTCTGTGGAGAGGGTCTATGCCATTTTGGGCCCCTCTGTTTGCCTCCCCATTGCAGTAGTGCCACTCTAGGCACCCTGGCTGCTCCACCATTCCTCCCAGAAGGCTCTGGGAGGCCAGGCAGGCCAGCAGGCCAGTGAAGACGCTGACGGGGTGAGGCAAGACATGGGGCAGCGAGGTGAAGGTGACCACATACATCCTGACCAACGGGTCTGGGAGCCCAGGGCAGCCGCCACCCCTGCCTACCGACAGGAGAATGCAGGGCCCCATAGGGGAAAGTCAGGACCTCAGCTCACAATATCCCCGAGTTCCTCTGCTCCTTCAGGTGGGTGGCAGACTCAGCCCCTCCTGAGAAACCACTGTGCCACCAGCTGGCTCCTGGATGCCTCTTGCTCCATCTCCTCCGTGGAGTGCCCGGCAGCCTGTTTCCTCAAAAATGCATCCGGGCCTGCAAGGAAACCCCACACAGGTGCTGGGCCAGACGTAGTCATTCCTGCTTGATGTTGAGAAGGTGAAGGCAGAGGACAAGGGAAATACGAGGTGTGCCCCTAACCCTGACAGAGCCCCGGGTACTGTTGGCAGGCCTGGTCAGAGCCCTGGGTCCAGAGCACCAAAGCCACCCCTAGACCCCTGAGTGGGGACAGAGTTGGAAAGCAGGGAGAAACCACGGACAACGGAAAGAGCAAGGGAACAGCCCAGAACCACAAAGCAAGAGCGGTGGGTCCACGTGTGGGGCATGGTAAGAACCAGCCTCGGCTGGTCGGGAAACGTGGTACTCAGCCTGGGAGGCGGTGCGTCAGGGGCCTGCAGGGGGCCATTCCAGGCTTTCCCCTTCCTCAGAGAGGACCCCGCCTGGTCCTCCAGGTCATACTACCCAGGGGTGTTGTGTGCACGTGCTAGTGCCCCCAGGCCATGGGACCCCTGGATGGGAGCCATGCTTTGACAGGCCACCATATGCACCTGTATATTCATTCATAGTGGGGCAGCCACCAGCATCACACTCCATCATGAGCCCTCAAAGGGCACCTATAAAACTGCAGCCACCGGTGGTGCAGCTCAGGGGGATGGAGAGGCGGGGCTGTCCTGACGCAAGGGTGATCCCATGGCACAGCTCGGCCAGCTCCTTCTGGGAAGGAGGGGGCTAGCACGCAGACTGTACCCCCACCATCTCGAATCCACACACTCAGGCTCCCTGCATAGCTACCCACCAATTCCTGGGCCTGCTCTGAACTTACTACCAGGAGCCCAGCCAGGGGCATCTGGACATCGGTAAAATTGGGACAAACAGCCCGACCGCTGGTTCCCCTGTTGAAGGACTCAGGCGGTGCCAGGGAGCAGACTCCCGGAGACGGGCCTGCTCCAGGGACAGGCTCAGGGCCCAGGCAGGCACTGTCATCCTTGGCAGGGAGAGAGGGGTGGCTGGGTGGCTTGGCCAGGCCCTTTAACGGGTGGGGTCTGGGCCTTGAGTATCACAGGCATGTGGGTACTGGTGGTGTAAGAACGAGCAGAGCGAGGCTTTGGCAGGAGACACGCATGTCGCAGCCCGCGTGCAGTACTGCAGAGGTGGCCTTGGGCCGGGGTGCTGTCTGATGGGCTGCCCCTCAGTTCGGCCCTCAAAGAGCAGGCCGAGTTCTTCTCCAGAAATGAAGCAGGTCCATCTGGCCGTAGAGACAGGAACCCAGGGTGTGAGGGCAAGCCTGGTAAGTCACATCCCCACCAAGCCCTTCCCGCCTGCAGACTTGCGCACAAAATGAGTCAGGCTTCCCGTAAAGGAAGATGGCAGGCTTCCGACATGGGCCCAATCCTGCTGGAAAAAGCAGCTTCCTCAACATGGAAACAAGGGGCACAGCCATGTCCCCACTGACTCCACCGGAGGCCTCCAGATGGGGGCGCCTCGCTTTGTGACATTAGAGAACTGACTGCCCAAGGAGGGTTATGCGTCCTGGGAGAAAAGACACAAACAGGATTTATCTACATGAAAACCTTCCCTCTGCACAGAACACTGAAGAGAATGAGACAGGAAATCATAGGGAAGGAGGGAGATTGATGGATCACAACCCATAAAGGACTCGTGCAGAGTAAGAAAAGTCGGAACTCAGAAGTGACCCAAGGCACAAGAGCTGAGCAGCCACATGAGCCAGAGATAACGTATTAACATACGTGGACACACACGTACAGAGATGCTCACCATGAAACCAGCACTCACCTATTTGGTGGAGACCCAGGAGGCCCTGGAGTGCAGGGGGGCAGCAGGGACTCACTCACCACGGTGGGAACACAGCTGCTTTGGGAAGTAGTTGGTGGCTCTTAAAAGCTAAACGTGGCCCCAAGAGCTCAGTCAAAATCAGCATGCCACATTCACCACGGCACCCACAAACATTAAGACAGGGGCAGTGAGGTGACCTGGGGGCAGGAGGACCCTGCGACCACAGGGGGGAACAGGTTACTGACTTCCCAGCAGACCAGTTGGAGATGCATTTTGCAGCGGGTAAAAAGCCAGGCCCATGAGTGGTTCTGTTCACAGAACATTCTGGAAAAGGCCAAACTATAGGGAGGGGAGGTGTCATGGAGGCGTGCGCCTGGCCATGAGGACGCCTTCAGGTCAGGACGAGGTGCTCTCCATGTCTGCCAACCCAAAAGCTGGACTTGAAATAAAACAAATGTAAACACTCACTGCACCTGAGACATTCGTGTGTCATGTGTAAACTTTACCCAAAACCTCTCTGACCGCCAAGGTGTCTGAGCCTTTACTGCCTGAGCCCATTTCCTAACCTCACCTGTTCTGTCATCAGCATGAAACCAGCACAGACCCTGTCGTCCCCTCTCCTAGGCAGGCTCATTTCACGTGCCCTCTGCCTATTGCGTGTACATGCTGAGCATCTTGGCCATCCAGCAGGGGCCCTACCACTGTTGTC